CGTCGCTCCGGCATCACAATATGGTAAGGGGCGTAACATTTCCGTCACACGCTTGAGGTATTCGGCCAATCACAACGCACTGGATAGCTGGCCAATCAGAGCACACCTCGCTTTTCAGACCGATGAGCTTTGTAAAAATCGACACGTTCCAGAAAGGCGGGGCATAGAGGAGCAACAACAATGTACATTATGTGGAAAATAATGCGTTTTTTTAACCTTAAACCGCATAAACACATTTCATTACACCAAATACACAAAATAATGTTCTTTTTAGCAACATCATATGACCCCTTTAAAAGAATTTCTCTTAATTTCAAGCCATTTTAATTCTACAAATTTTTAAATTCGATTTACAGTTGTAGTTCCAGTTTGCTACTTCAATTCCAATAGAATCAGAATTAGTACTAGAAAAAAAAAAACATTCTCAATATAATTCAGAATGGTGCCCAAACATACAGACAAAAACAACAAGACACAAAACACCGGTCAGAAGCTATGTTTCCATCCACGAAACATAGGAATGAATTAAACTTGTGCGCAAAATTGGAATATCACATAAAATATTGGCAAAAAAGCACTGTTTCCATCCAGTGAGTTGAAGAGAACAAAATCATCACTTCCTGATTAACTTGCACTTAATATCACAAAGAAAAATTTAATTTGCTGCAGTAGGAGAAGGCACTGTATATAATAATTGTGTATACAATAAATTATGAACTTCAGAGCATGCAGACCAAACGTGGTCATGTTATTTTATTTTCGGAGCCTGCTGTTTGGGAGCGCATTTCTGGGAGTTAATTATAATGAAGCACTTTGACAAGACTTTGCTCAAGCATTTTAGAATGATAAAAGTAGCATTTCAGATGCTGTGCAATGAGATCGGTCCGTTGGTTGGTCCAGTTTTATGCTGTCCCATTGCAAAGTCACATGTCTTTTTTGATGCACATTAAGGAATATTTGCTAAAACTGTTTCCATCGTAGTTTATGCGCATGTTTTCTTACCCGATAAGAAGTTTATCCGACTTAGTTGAGTGCATACGTTTTTATGTGAAAATTTTTAGAATTTATGCTCATCTCGGCATTTCCATCCAGCGTTTTTTTGTGATATCCCAAAATGTGCATAAAAGTAGGTGGATGGAAACATAGCTAGTGAAGTCAATCTACATGCATAAAATAACAAAATAAAGTGCAGGCTGCAAGTAAAAATGTGTAGTCAACTATACAGTCCTCACAACAATAGAGATCTTAACAGAAATGTGTATTAGTTAATCACCACCACTAAAATATTAATGCTAAAGCCGAAATTTAGTAACAATTCTAGATAAGCTAATCATCTAGTCACGTACAGGTGCACTAGTTGCCCATCCTGACCCATCCCAAGCATGTATAGTGTGCGCAGTGGTGAGGCTTGTTCAGGGCCTGCCTGCTGCTTTTCATTTCATTTCATAAACACTATTCCACTGCCATGCGGATAACTTCTCAGGGTGCTGTCACTCACACACACACGGTACAAAGCAGAACAGACAGACGTGGGCTCCACCGAGGCAGAGACACGTCTTACTTCTCAGTTTCCTCGCTCTCCCTCTCTCTCTCTCACACACAAAACCTGCACTCGCCTTCTCACAATTTGTACGCACACACCCATAATCAGACACAAATAACATCTCTTTCCCACACTCACACTCGTCTGAGCTCCTGTTCTCACACAATCGGTGTTTTCAGGTTTCCCTCACACAGATACTCAAATATTCTCGCAGAGCTCCTCTCACTCACATATAGGCTATTTTCACTCATATGAGTGTTATAGGTGCAACTTATTGAGCTGCCAACTAAGCATTTTTTGAGCATCACAGGCATAATATCTCATAACCTATAGAGCTGTCTACCTAGAAAGCCTTTCTAGACAATATAGATACAAGTCTATGATGCCCGAATGTGCTGTTTGATTAAGCAGCTCACTAGGTTTTTAAACTCTGCTAATTATTTATTCCTTTAAAAATTATGTCTAAGGAGGCAGCTCACTGGGTGCTGACACAGTCTCTCTCTTTCTCTTGTGTTTACATTATCTCTTTCATTCTGTCTCTCACAGTCTCTTACCCTGGACACTTTAAACTCATAAGTATCTATTCCAAGACCTATTTACCAAAGAGGAGTCTGATTCAGTCAGACAGCTCCGAGTGTGTGTGTAATGAAACTAGTTTGCTATTGTCCGCTGAGATGTGTAACAAGTCAGTGTTGGAAGGATGCTTGCATATATATTAAAATTAAGCCTGGGGTTTAGACTGTGCTGCACATATCTAAAAATGTCACAGCTTACATTTTTCCGACCTCATCTTCCTTGCTGCATTTATTACCCATGTTTCTCTCTCTCACTGTGGCTGCATTCCACAAGGAAAGGTGCTTAACAGCCTCCTGCACGTGACTTAAAGCGTGCAAAACACCTAAAACGTGTATATAAACCCACAATCCTCAGAACAAATCTTAACACTACTTTGGAAACCGCAAGCTTCCAAGTGCAGCTCAGCGATCCGGTCCAAAGATGGCTTTGCCAAACACCTCTTGAGAATTCACAGAATTCTCGCTCTCTTTCAAGCATTAAACATTGCTCCGCACATTTCAAACAATTTTCCAGCAAATAAAGACATTCTTACTAGAAGCTTTGAAAAGATTTCAAACGGTCTTCGGACCACTTACTGAGTTGCTCTTTCCATCTCAAAGGCAGAAAGAGGGCTCTTTCAACTTCAGACGAGGGGGCTTTGAGAGTGTTCCACTCTGCTCTCTGTCCCCTGATACGGAAACACACCAGGGAGGAGAAGACTCTGTAGAGCGACATCGAGGCCAAAGCAACCTAATCCATATTAACAGGGCTGAAATGACACTGACAGGATTCTGCTTATGGGCTTACCTATTCAATTAATACTTTGAAGTCCTGTACAATGACAAGTTTTATGAAGGGATATCATGCTTTTATTCCTTCAACATTGACAATTCAGTCAACGGAGTGAAACGTCTACAGGGAATGAGGCCTTTCATTTGTTGTGAAAATGAAAGTGATTACAAAAAAAAAAAGAAGTCAGTTCCCAAAAAACAACAGGGAATTTTGTGATTGTAATTATCAATGTTTATTTATTTATTAAACATTGGTGCCTTTTATCATACAGCTGTTGCTACTTTAAAAAAAGCAAGTTACTCAGTGTTTTACCATGGTAAAAACATTCCCAATTTTATCATTATTTACTCATCCTCATGTCATTCCAATCATACATTACGCTATTTTTAAATGTCAAAATGTTTTTTGTACATACAAAGAAAGTCAATAGGGTCCAATTTCATTTGGACCAGAAAGTCCTTCACAATATTTCTTCTTTTGTGTTGCGCAGAAGAAATGAATCAAGCAGGTTTTAGAATGTCATGAAGCAGAGTAAGCTAAAAATAAAACATCCACATGGATGTTTGTACATGGAGTTTCTTTCATTGAGAAACAGCTAAATCTACCAGATGACTCTCTGAATCTCTGTTCTCTAAGATGTGATGAGAAAAAACACCTTGAGGTTGTGCTATCAAATAAAGCTCAGGGTTACAAAAACATGCCTCTGGCTTTAAAATGCCGTTTCACACAAACTCTCTGCCTTATACACACATCGTCTGCCTGGCAGGAGCGGATTAGAAAAAAGTGTTTCCAAAACACATGCTGATGATGGGTGAACGAGAGTTTCAAGCCTTTACAAACACAGAGGCTCAGTGTTTAGCCTTGTGAATGGTGTGATAGCTCTGAGTGCTTGAAACTAATACATAATCACTTGCACAACATACACAATATGCACCAAACTCATAAGCATGTTTCCTGTGAATATCAAAAGGTGAGCTTCTACTCGTTAACCTTAATGCTATGTGAGTTGTAGAAAACAGCTAAGCTAACCAGCAATGTTTTGAGCCTTCCTGCCTCCACTGCCATTGCGTGTTTAATTGTTCCTGCACATTAATAATGAATACATGCCTGCAGCAATGCCCAAGCTTCCTGAGGGACATTGTGAGAGAAGAACCAGACTCCATTTCTTTACACTGTGGTATTTAACTAACAGGACAGAAGACAAGATGCAGTACTCAGTCTCCCTTTACTGGCTAACTACACCTGTATGTTGAAATACCAACAATTCATGGCAACATCTCATGCAATGTTGACATAGAACACAGTGTTGTTGTAGCTGAACTAGTAGAGCATGGCAGAACAAGGTCAGGGTTTTGATTGCAATGAAAAAAAGAAGGCTGGCTTATGAGCTCTCACCTGGAGAAACAACTTTTTAAACCTGCCTGAGCTGGTTGGCTGGTCTTCTAGCCTGGTCAAGCTGGTCTGTTGGCTGATAATTTTTAAAGGGCTTTTGGTGCTTTCACCCAGCTAAACACCAGCTTGGCCAGACTAGGAGACTGGCTAGACCAGAGGTGTCTAATCCTGCTCCTGGAGGGCCACTGTACTGCAGAGTTTAGCTCAAATCCTAATTAAACACACCTGAAGCAGCTAATCAAAGTCTTCAGGATTACTAAAAACTTCCAGGAAAGTGTGCTGGCCAGTTTAAAGCTGAACTCTGCAGGACATTAACACTGCAGGACTGGACATCTCTTGGCCTAGACTATCTGAAAATCAGCTTGACCAGGCTGGAAGACCAGTTGACGACCAGCCTGACCAGGCTGGGAGACCAGCAAACCAGCTTAGGATGGTTTAAGACATCTTTTTTTCAGCAGGGTAAATGTAATTCAAATTTTAAGTAGAACAACACCATGAGCTAATCCCCCTGGAGCAATTTGTGGTTAATGCTTTGCTCTGGAGTAAACTGGTGATGGAATTGAACAAGCAATCTTCAGGTTTCTAAGCCTTAATCACTACACCACACCAACCCAATTCAAGCAAGTTTACAAAACCTCCAAACCTGAAACCTCCATTTCAATCAAGATCAAACAATTATTCTGAGAAATAGTCTACTCTGGAGAAAGTGTATACTTACGATCTAGGCCATTGATGTAACGCATGGTGATTTCACAGTGGCCCCACACCGCACTGACAATGGGGTACAGCTTGTTGCCTTTAAGGCCTCTGAAGGCCACTCCGAGGTACTGTCCATCCACCATGAAGCTCAATGTGCCCTCATCCATGTCCAGCACCACCATTAAGGCATCTGGCAGCACAAAGGCCTCCTCTGGCTCCAGGAAGCTTGGGTATGTGGGTGCAGAAGAGGCTGGCCGGTTCTTACTGTTATGGTAGAGCTTGTTACACACTACTGTAGCTTGTTAGGCTGTTTGTGTGATACAATGTAACACTTAACAGCGTAATTTTAGACTACTACTTGTCAGAGTACAGCTCATTATCGGACAAGCTATGATACTGTAAAAAAGCCTCAGCTACGCTACTAAAGTATGTACGATCTTCAATCTGCAACATTTTTGGATAATAAACATCTTCCTCAATTTGCCATTCCACACTCAAGGCTCTGTTTGTTTTGCTTGTCCCATCATAAAGATAGCATTCTTTGTTTTCAGGCCCGCGTAATTCAATTTTCCGCCACTGCGTTGCGTGTTTAGCGAGCTCCCCAGGACTCAAGAGCTTGTAGCTGTTCTGCATAACTAGAGGAATGATAATATTGCAGACCCCAGGCTGCCCGCTTAAAAGTCCTGAATGCTGTTTTATACAATAGTTAGGTCTGTCCATGCAATCTGATTAGCCAAAAGGCATGTGTTGCATCCTGGAGGACATTTACAGTTGGAATAAAACCACATGCAATGACCAAGTGTGAATAGGATGGAAAGACAGACAGACTGTCAGATATAGATAGATAGATAGATAGATAGATAGATAGACAGACAGCTGGTGTGTTTCAATGTGTCACAGCAGAGTGTCCGTAAGACGGTGACCGCATGGTATGACTGTACTGTGCCATTGGGCGTTACACTGCTGATATAAAATGCCAACGTCAAGCTGAGAAGTGAAAAAAACGTCCACTACGTCAATTACACTCACTCTCCTCAGGGGTAATGATCTCAAACCATATGAGACACGACTAATGTAACTATAACAACCTCATTTTAATGGACCGCTGATGTGCTGTCTCCATCTGCTTAGCCATGCGAGACAAGACTACATATAAAAGCAGTCTGCCAGGGCCATACGTCTCCGCATGGGAAAATGCCCATTTGTGCTGACTTATCTATTAGAAAAACAAAAGCACTTGGCTGGTGAGCGTGTCACTGGGATGGGGCTGCTATGGCTATAAGTCAAAGAAAAGCGAAGTAGAAGTCAAAACAACCCTGGTGTAATTGTGCCCTGCGGCTCCTCTGTGGTGTGATGTCTTCAGTCAAGCCAAATGTCTTTTTTTCTATGCTTGGGAGCCATTTTGGGTTATTAAAATAAAGAATACAAATCTAAACTGATCTTCAATCTGCAACATTTTTGGATAATAAACATCTTCCTCAATTTGCCATTCCACACTCAAGGCTCTATTTGTTTTGCTTGTCCCATCATAAAGATAGCATTCTTTGTTTTCAGGCCCGCGTAATTGAATTTTCCGCCACTGCGTTGCGTGTTTGGCGAGCTCCCCAGGACTCAAGAGCTTGTAGCTGTTCTGCATAACTAGAGGAATGATAATATTGCAGACCCCAGGCTGCCCGCTTAAAAGGCCTGAATGCTGTTTTATACAATAGTTAGGTCTGTCCATGCAATCTGATTAGCCAAAAGGCATGTGTTGCATCCTGGAGGACATTTACAGTTGGAATAAAACCACATGCAATGACCAAGTGTGAATATACCCATTTGACTTAGAAAAACTGACAGAACCAACAAAAATCACAGCGTGGGTGGATGGATGAATGGATGGACACTTGGTAATTTCACTTGGTCATTTCATGTAGTTTTATTCCATTACGGATTGAGAAAATGGACAAAAAATACTATGGAAGTCAATGGGACCCAAAACCATTTGGTTCTTCAAAATATCTTCTTTTGTGTTCAAAAGAACAAACAAAGTCATACAGTTTTGAATGCCATGAGGGGGAGTAAATAATGACAGAATTTTCGTTTTTAGAGGATTATCTCCCAAAAGGCATGTGTTGCATCCTGGAGGACATTTACAGTTGGAATAAAACCACATGCAATGACCAAGTGTGAATATACCCATTTGACTTAGAAAAACTGACAGAACCAACAAAAATCACAGCGTGGGTGGATGGATGAATGGATGGACACTTGGTAATTTCACTTGGCCATTTCATGTAGTTTTATTCCATGACGGATTGAGAAAATGGACAAAAAATACTATGGAAGTCAATGGGACCCAAAACCATTTGGTTCTTCAAAATACTTTCTTTTGTGTTCAAAAGAACAAACAAAGTCATACAGTTTTCGAATGCCATGAGGGGGAGTAAATAATGACAGAATTTTTGTTTTTAGAGGATTATCTCTTTAAATAACACAGATCTGAATCTGTGGAGCTGCCCTATGTGACGTGTGTCTGTGTGTTCACACTGTTTAGTCTACTGGCCATTACTGTGTACATCCTCATCTGAATTTGTTTATGCTTCAGCACCCATCAGAACCTCAGCAGGGCCTCTTTCTCGCTGGCACACGGGGGCTTGCGTTTCCCTTCAAGAGGGTGGGGGGTCTGTGATAAAGCGAGCGCCTGGTGCCTGGCGCCTGGCCCCTCGCCTGCGTTACCCTGGTCACCAGAGACGTGATGGACACGCACACCTCTAGCCACCGGTGGCTTTGATGAGTAGGAACACACATTCGCCATCTGTTGTTTATCTTTGCATCCTCTCTCTCTCTCCATTTCATCGGGAACATCTTTCTTTCCTCTGCGGCTGGTGTCATTCATTTCCTCACACTTTCTGTCTCTTGTTTCTTAACTCACTCCCAGCTGGATAATCAAGTTAAAACCAGTTTGAAGAAGAATTTTAATTTTTCAAAGAATTTTCAGTGAATAACAACCTAAATTTTGTTGTTATTGTATGGCTTTAGAAATTTTTATACACTACCATTCAGAAGTTCATGAGCAATACGATTTTTTTTTTATTAATATTTTTATTCAGAAAGGATGCATTAAACTGATTAAAAGTGACAGTGAAGGCATTCACAATGTTACAAAGGATTTCTGTTTAAAAAATGCTGTTCTTTTAACTTTCCATCCTGAAAAAAAATGTCACCACAGTCATGCTTACCAGAAAAGTATTAAGCTGCACTACTGTTTTCAACATTGATAGTAATGTTTCTTGAGCACCAAATCAGCATATTAGCATGGTTTTGATTGACAATGTGACAGAAAACTGGAGTAATGTCTGCTGAAAACTCAGCTCTGCCATCACAGGAATAAATTTCACTTTAAAATAGAAAGCAGTTTTTCTAAATTGCAATAATATTCCACAATATTACAGTTTTTACAGTATTTCTGAGCAAATAAATGCATGAGGAAATTGAGAGTTCTTTAAAAAATATCTTACCAACAATCTCCCTGTCCCTCTCTCTTTGTCACTTACACAGACGGCATATCAGTAAAGCCCATGTCCAGTGTAGTGATCGACCGATATTGATATTTTATAACCGATACCGATACCAATTATTTGCATGTTTATGTGCCCGATAACCGATATGCAGAACCGATATTTATTTACTGTTATAAAGTAAATAAATGACTAAGTGAAGCAAGTCCATACTTCACTTTGGTTTTCCTCCTTTCAGTCATCTTAAAAAAAGTGCTGAAAATTAGCAGTCTTTCATGTTAAATTTAATCTTCACATTACAACAATAAAAAAAAAACATTTTATTTAAAGCATCAGCAGCAACACTAATATTAACAATAAGCAAAATAAATGTAGAAGGTCTAATGTTTTCAAATGGAGAAAATAAATAAAGGAAAGGAGTCATACCAACTTCATTTTAAACTACAGTTTTAGTAGGTTTATAAGATGTTTAATAGGCTAAAGAGTGAAGAATAATTCACTGGATAATGTTAATTCACTGAATAATATTCTCTGGAATATTGAAATATAACAAACAAAACATTGTATTTTATTGCATTTCTCAACTGGCATGTTACATCAGAATTACTAATAATGTTTTTGTCGTTCTAGATTATGAAATGCCTGCTGACAGCGCAGTTTATCTATGCATTTACACAGAACTATATTCAAATTGCGATCGCTCGTGGAGATAATAAATAATTAATTTCCACGGAGTTGTATTTATTTAGATGTTTATTAGCGAAATAATGGTTATATAGTAAATGTTAATACAATTTAGGGTGTTTTAAACAAGTGAATCTTGTTAAAAGTTACATGCGGTGGCCGTGCTGGAGCATTTCCTGAGCATCAACCCGGTGAGTGAACAGCAGTATGAAAGCGGCTTCACGAGACTAATGATGAGCAAATATACAACCGAGAGAGAAGTAAATTTAGCTTTTTTATTTCCAACATGCGCTCATTCATGGCTGTATTATTTAATTAATGCAAAGTTACGTCTTTATTAGGAGAGGACTTGACGGATTATCTTAGCCTACGTGACTCCGACTTCATGAGATGATGAGCATATAGACAACAGAGATCGAATTAAATTCAGCAATTTTATTTCCAACATGCACCCATTCATGGCTGCATATTATTTAATTCACGCAAAGTTACGTCTTTATTGGGACAGGACTTGACGGATTCTTACGTGACTCCGTGAGTTTGTCTCTATTTCTTCGAGCCAAGCTGCATAAACTGCATATTAGGCATTTATGTAATACATCTAATTTGTGCATTAATGGCTGTTATGTTAAATAAAGTTTACCAACTACAGTAAATCAAGTTCCTGTGCATGCCGTTGTTGTTGTCTCCTATCCCCTCAGACGCCATGGTGCAATGGCAATCCTGTGCGCAATTCTCAAAACATCCGTTTATCGGTGAATCCGATATTACAAAACCGATATCCAATTAGTGTAAAATGCTTACATATCGGGAAAAATATCGGTAAAACGATATATCGGTCAATCTCTTATTGCTATACTTTATTCTCAAATTATTAATGTTAACAACATCAGCATTACGTGACTGTGTGAATATAGTGTGTATTAGCCTGTAGATTTCAATTTCTGTACCATCTAATCTCTAATTGTCATACCATTCTAATTTCATACCAAGAAATTATTTTAACCCAAAAAGCAAACTATGCTCCCTTCGTCTAGTTTGTGCATTAATGGCTGTTATGTTAAATAAAGTTTACTAACTACAGTAAATCAAGTACCCGTGCACGCAGTTGTTGTTGTCTTGTTTGTCGGTAAATCGATATATCGGTCGATCTCTAGTCCAGTGCTCTATTATTCAGAGGGCACAGGACAGACAGCCGTATGGCCACATGGGACATGCCCTGCCTCTGTCCACCTACACAGTCCTAATTAAACAGACCTAGCCCATGGAGACACACCGCCAGACAGGCATCTGTCGAAGCAGGCCTTGCTGTTTTTCTGTTCAGAACATTCTGGAATTAAGTATAAGCCAACGGCCGTGTTTAGTAATAAAAATTACGAGACGTTCATGCACACTGGGTATTAAGTGCGAGTGTGTGAGAGAAAGTCCTCTGTTCGACATGTCCTGATGGGCGAGATGTGTTCTGAAGTGACACACAAGCAGATGAATCCAGCGATCTCCCTTGGAGGCTGTCACATCAAAGTGAAACTAGAGACTACGAATACAGCCGAGACAGGATAAATGTGAACCTTACGACGACAGCCGTATGGCCACATGGGACATGCCCTGCCTCTGTCCACCTACACAGTCCTAATTAAACAGACCTAGCCCATGGAGACACACCGCCAGACAGGCATCTGTCGAAGCAGGCCTTGCTGTTTTTCTGTTCAGAACATTCTGGAATTAAGTATAAGCCAACGGCCGTGTTTAGTAATAAAAATTACGAGACGTTCATGCACACTGGGTATTAAGTGCGAGTGTGTGAGAGAAAGTCCTCTGTTCGACATGTCCTGATGGGCGAGATGTGTTCTGAAGTGACACACAAGCAGATGAATCCAGCGATCTCCCTTAGAGGCTGTCACATCAAAGTGAAACTAGAGACTACGAATACAGCCGAGACAGGATAAATGTGAACCTTATGACATCGCTGCTTTCAATTAGATGTCAGATATCTGTTTACAACGTATGCGCGGCTACTCATAGCAACAAAACCCCTTCGCATGACACTTTACTAATTTTAATTTAACCCGCGCCTCATCTGCACCCTAAAATACCAGTCACATAGAGCATAAATATCAAATATTCTCAAACGAGAACAGAAAGGAAAAGACAGCATAACAACATTCAGGACTGTGAAATCTGGTCACAAGAGTAACATCAAATGTGACAAGGTTTCCTAACCAGAGATAAGTAATTTTTCTGTCAACGCTACGTGCATTTACAAGCACTTTAAAAAGATGATTTTAGTCAAAGTGTCATACAAACACTTTATCTGGACTGAAGTCAGAATAACAGACCTAGACAATGTAACATGTAAACAACATGTAAACTTATTTACTGAAATGTGTGATGTGACAATCACAGCCAATCAGAACATATGTGGAGCAGGATTTTGGACAAATGGGATTTCACAATGATACCTACAGATTAGGAATAGAAACCCTGAAATGTCCTGTCTTCTGTTGCAGTTGCTGTTGGTTAGGTCACAAACTCAGATTAGCATGTAAGCGATTCCATTTAATCATTTTTAGCTTGATGTCATTGAGCCTGGCTAGGACATGGTGTGAGAGACAAAAATATCTCATTCATACTTCATACCCATATTCATACCAGAACAAAACAAGTCAACGTGAAACCTACCACAGACTTTGAGCATTTAAAACATCCAAACTTATGTGACAAGGATGTGTTAATTTACATCTAATGTTTATTAAATGTGGCCATTTTGCCTGTATGTCCTGTTAAGGTATTCCAGTTATCCCAATACAAACCCCTGTTCAATTTCTCTGTCTAGCTAAACAAGCTTGTATTACAAACTAACACACAACTATTATATTGAATAAACTATGGCAGACTGTGAGCATTTGTCACCAAAAAGCTATTAAACATCCAAACCTACACTACCGTTGAAACGCTCAGGGTCGGTAAAATGTTTTAAGTTTACTTAACATGTACGTACTTTATCCATGTGATGGCAAAACTGAATTTTCAACCATTATTTCAATCTTCAGTGACACATGATCCATCATAAATTCTAATATGCTGATATGGTGCTCAAGAAACATTTCTTATTATAACCAACGCTGAAAACAGTTGTGCTTTGAATTTTTGTACAGTAGTGTATGTGCCATAAATACATTAAAGCTGTTCCAAATATCTCTCATACAAGATCCAATTATATTTATTTCCGTCTAGCAAAACAAGTCCATATTATAAACTGCCACAAAATAACTATGATAAATACCACAATAAAACTCAATTTAATAAAACACTGTCGACTTCAAGCATCTATTTGTCACCAAAAAGCCAATAAAACATGCCAAACCTTTGTGACAGGGCCATGCTAAATCTGATTTTCATTAAATGTGACTTTTTTCCTGTACTTCCTGTTAATCTGTTCCAAATATATCGCAATATAATTTCCCGTTCAATTTCCCTGTGCCTAGGAGCTCAAAAGTCTTCAGGCGCTGCATGCAGCAAGAACATCAGATGCAGCTATGTGCATGAAGAGAGTAAATATAAGACACAGCCATTGAAGTCCAGGTTTTCTGACAGCCCAAAAGCCATTTATCACTGTGACTAAAGTGTCCACCCCCAACCCAAAACCGG